ATTAAGAGAGCGGAAGCTGGAGTAAATCGTGTAGCACTGAGTTTCATTGGTTAATTCATAATCTTTACTCAGGTATTAGGGTGACCAAGTCAGGAAGGCAAATTGGGTTTTCAATTTTCAAGAGACCCCTGTTTCTAAGCAGACAATGGCAGCAATATGGTTGCTTCAATTTAAATAATGTGTAACCTGAGAAAGCTGTACTGCAACAACAGATTTTTCACATAAAAGAGAACTTTACCATCAGACATGCACATACCCTTGAAATCACTAATTTCATCCACTTCACTACAGTTCAATTTGAAAAGTGCTGTACAGAAAAAAAGCTTTGTGAAGATCTACAGTGGCTAATTCCTAGCACCAAACAGCAGCAGTTGTAACTGATCTCCCGATTCCCTGACAGGTCAGACAAACCAGTGATGGGCGATTCTCTGTCTGTCAACAAATGTCACTTATGCTTAAAATGCTGAAACCCAGAGAAGGGAAATAGCTGCATCGAAAGAAAGACGAAAACTTACCAGAGGACACATGTTGTTCAGCTTGAGGTACCGATAACTGGTTACACATGTGAAATATTCATTTATCCATTTTCTAAGGTATTTAAATATTGGGATATACCAATTTATTCAACACTGTAAAGACATGGTTTAATAATTCTCCAAGACGAGTTGAATATGGTCCAGTGATTATCACAATCTCCATCGCACATTATCAACAGAAAATTTTTTGTTTTTGTTTTCTTGTTTCCACAACAGTATAACTGCAAAGTGGTATTTATAATTTTCAGCAGAAATTAAGAGAGGGAGGAACTCAGCAAAGACAAAACAATCTCTTTCCAAAATTGGGGGTAGAAAAAGAATACTGACTCAAAGTGCACATTTTTCCAGGGTTCTATGTGTTTTCTGCGTAGGCAATGACACTCTTATTTTAATTACCGTATTTTATGAAAGTTTTCAATCAGAATTTTATTACAATATTGTTATTTATATGTAAGTTCACATTATGTCACAAAACTTATTACTTATTTTTACATAAGTAACACTTTAACTTATGCATTATTTACAAAAATTATTTCCTCTGTCATGGAAACAACTGTAACTTTGAAATATGCACAGGAAAATATATTTACAGTGTTCTTCCCAAAGGATACAATTGCTTGAAGTACGTTACTTATACCAATAAGCGTGCATTACTTGTGGCTGGGAGAAGAAATATGACCAAAGGTTTCTTTTTTCGATGAGTTACAAATCACACAGTTACCCTGAAAAAAAATGAAAACCATAACTCATATTTCAATATATTTGCTCATGATTAATAACACAGACTCAACTATAAAAATAATAAAGGAAGGACATTTAAGATTTTGTTGTTAGTTTCCTGGTTTATTTACTGATGCTTTGACAACTGTGTGTATGAATGTTGAACTGGAAAGGATATCGGAGTTGTGGTCTTGTTGAACGTATCAGTAGTATTCAACCTTTTTTTGTTCGCGTACCCCCAGATATAATTTCTCTTAAACTTTGTGCCCCCAAAGTTGTTGGTGTATAATTCAAGTTATACATAGTATATAATATACATCTAAAATAAATTAAATAAATTACATCCAAAATAATGTATTAAATAATAAGTTTTAAATGAGAAAAAGGAGAACCAAGCTATTAAATAACAAATATATTATTACCTATCATATAAAAATTAATAAAGCAAAGTAAAATTATATGTTTAAATATTTTATCAATTATTAATTAATGTGGTTCAAACCTGTTAATGAGATAATTGAGCTTGTTTCTGCCGCCCTGATAAGAATCACATAAAGGAGAGAGAGATGGAGCTCCCAAATCAAATGTCCTTACGTCAGGTTCTCCTGTGGCTAACCCTAAATCTGGCACTGATTATTCAGCGTTTATCATAAAATAATATATATATATATATATAATTTTTTAAATTTCACGTAGCCCCTAAGATGTCTTCGCATACCCCCAGGGGTACGCGTACCCCACGTTGAATACCACTGGAATGTATCATCCCAGCAGTTGCTGACTTATTAGTTATGTTGTTCTTGTCCTAGTTCTTTACCAAATCATCTAATGCAGTTATTAATGCCCTATGCATGCTTGTGGTCTGAATGCATGAAGTAAGAACTTCAAAACAGATAAATGACCTCAACGTAAATTATACTGACTGAGCTATCCCAGCTCATTTATGAGCCGGGATAGCTCAGTCAGATGTAAATACTGCTATGTAAAATATAATACACTTCTTCAGTAGATTTCTAGAACTTATACCTGGATATAGAGAACTCAATATGCTGTGTATTTTTGTTTTCAATTTTATCAAGTATCATATCAACTCTGAATTGCCTAACATTTAGAGATGGTTCTTACCCTCCTTTGGGCCAGATCTGCCACAAAATTAGAACACCTGCCACATTACCAAAAGTTAACAGAAAGATGGTTTCTTATTTCTACTGACAGTTTGAAGAAGTTTATGGTTTATTTAAACATATTCAGAATGTGAGTATCCTATTAATTACAAACAAAAGAGGATCCATTACTTACATCAGCAATATCTAAAGTAGGGAGACAATCTTCATGGAATGAATGTTTACAGTAGAATATAACAACATTGCTGGCACGACTCAGATCTATGAAAGAACATATTAAAAATTCTCTTACTTATTGCTTTTACACTTTTCAACAGATACAAGGGTTTTAAATCCCACATTCCCATATAATAAAGAATATAAGGCCTTGAAATGTTATGTGGTAAAAGATCTTTGGAAAATGTGCAATATTTGTTAACATAATAATCTTCCTTGGAGAGTGTACCAATTGAATGAACTTATTATGGTAAGAATAAAACTTACAAAAACATACAGAACAACACTAACCTTTTACGATTATCTTCCTATGACATGCTCCACACACTTGTTCATCTGCAATTGCAGAAAACGTGATTAACATCAGGCACAAAAAACAACTTGGTCTGTGTGAATGCAGGCACAAACAAAATGTTCAAATGAAAAAAGTTTAAAAATATTTACTAGTATATACAAACACTTCACAAGAAAATTTAATTTTTGGTTTACATTTATTTTACTTAAAACTGACATGAAAATGTAATCATTTTCCAAAGAAAAAACAATGTCATTGTACAAAACACTGATGCATGATAAAAATATATACCTTATTAGAGGTGCATGTTTTACTTTAAACATTTTTAAATATGGTGCATATTCAATTACAAATATAGAAAAATAAATTCTGATTCCTGTATACACTAACATGTGCAGCATGACTGCTTGAAATAACTGAATCTAAAATAAATAAGCATAAAGGCCAATGATATAAATAAAATAAACTTCTGAGATCTACTGAAACCCAGGTACCAGATTTCTGATTAACAGCATTAAACGGCTCACTTACCATCTATGGCAATGCCTCTCTGTTGCATAGAGACCAACTTTTCATGCAGATTGAAATAATCAGATACCAGGATCTTTCTGCAGCCTTCCTGCACAGACACCTAAAAGGAAGTTCACATAACCATTACAAATATTACATTTAAAGAATATCAATTACAAAACTTATGACTGAAAATAGATCAAATGATGTGGTCATAAGAAAAATTGAAAATACCTGTAAGTTGTAATCCTGCATCATTTTGACGAGAGAGTTCTGTAGACCTGGTATTTTCAGCCCATTTTCAATTCTCTTAACCAAAATTTGAGGATCAACATATGTTCCAATCTTCTGCAGTAAGAATGTTATAAAATCTGCAAACAACATGTTAGTCACAAATTGAAACTGTCCGATCCAAGTTATTTAACAATGCTGTTTAAATTACACAGGTTATAAACCATCAAATGACAGGAAAATAAACACAAATGAGTACGCAAGATGTATGCAGGAGGCACCTGTAGCATATTTCAAGGTAGAATTTGGCAGTTATCCAGAAACGCTGAGAAAGGACTTGAAAAACAAAAGAAGTAATATGGCTAAGATTTGAACTATATACCTTATGAATGCAAGTCTTCAGCTTTACCACTACACCAATCTTCTTAATAAATGTAACTATGTTGTTTAATCTCTATAGATATAGTGTTCAATGAGATGGGAAGATGATCATAAATTTTAAGCAGTTAAGGATTCGAAAGAAGCTGATCATGACGTACTTCAAGCTACTATCCCCAAATTCCCCTGAAGGGACTAAGAAACACGCAAAAACTCAGTCATGACAACTCATTAATAATCTGAGATTCAGAATCGGTACTTCCAAAATCCAAGTCAACAGCATCACCAATGCACCAACCTGTTTAGCAAATTAAAATTATACTGCATCACACACTATACCATATATATTACATAATTCATCTTGCTGCCTGAATGGCTTGCATATGCATTGCATTTCATCACCAACAAGTTAGTGTAACCAGATGAATGTCAAATTACCAAGATGGCAGTTGTACCAATGAGTAAAATTACCATTTCTTGAAATTGTACACCATGCACAGAATGAACAGCTTACCAGGTTTGTTCAGGGAATATTGTATGAGATCTTCCCACAGTTCCATATCATCATGTTCTTTGCAGAAGGCAATGGCCTGTTCAATGTCACCAAGTTCCCCTGTTATCAAAACCAGCGCTTCCTTTGTATTTCCAATACGACCTGCAAACACGTAACATTTTTCGCAAATATTTATTACATATTTTAAAATTTATATTATTCTCAATACCATCTTACTGCAGGGCAGTAAAGATGCCCATGGTGATCTTGTGGATTGTGATGCCATGAGGATTTGTAGGTGGATACCAACATATTGGAGAAACATACAGCCTGCATTTTCAAAACCCAAAATACCACTGTGGACATTGTTAAGGTTATTAAATCAAGGACAATCTAGGCATGACATACAGCATGCACAGTATACAAAAAATGCATACAAACTTTTAACCAGAAAACAAGAGAAGACACCACTTGGGAGAAATGGACATAGATGGAAGAACGATACTAAATGGGCAACACAAAAAGTATATGAAATTTTGATCTAGACAGGGTGTAACTGTAGGCTTTGAACACATTGAGAAATTTTAATGGAGAACTTCTTGATAAATCAAAAAGCTACCAACTGCTCAAGACCATGTACCATGAAGAACATATGCTACTGACCTAAAAGATACACCATTTCAGGATAGTAACATCGCTGCTGACAGATATCCAAGGCTTGCTGAATGGGGTACTGATCAGAACGACGAAGGAAAGGTAGCAGTTTATCTCTGGAAAAATCAGCATATAGCTGAACTAAGAGTCCATGGTATTTCCGTCCTGATTCCCAAATGTCTCTTTTGTCCAACGCATCCAGATACTGTCAAACAGTCAAAGCACAAGTATGTTAATCAGTTTTAAATGCTGCAGCACATTGCATCCAGTATTCAAGTTAAAAGCTGGATAACAATATATGTACATTACAGCCACAAATCTCAATTTTATTACATGAGCACTGCTTGGTTTATAGGTAACAAAAGCTAAGGTGATCTGGAGTCACATGACATGAGGATGATTATACACTATGAAATGGGGAACAATGGTGAGAAAATGGCTCTTTATTTCAACATGTCATCTCAACATTCACCTAGGAAGACTAAGGAAAATCAGCTGGGATAGAGAGTACTCCATCAGATATATGAACTGTGTTACACCTAAATAGAATTTAGGTGCATTAGCACTCAGTCAGCCTAACTGGTCAACAAAAAATATAAAATGAATTTGTATTGTCTTGCTATAAATGTTCAAAATCTGAATAGAGAATTATTTGTACTGTGCAATTACAAGAAAACTCAATTACTACCACCACAGATACTTATTTTGCACCAGCAATTATTCATGATTAGAAGCATCATTACAGGGTAAAATTTTGTTGATACATACTGAATTCTGTCCATTGGCTATCAAACCTGTCTACAGAATCCTTTACAGTAGGAATTAGCTACCAACATATGTACCTGAAAGATTTCATTCTTTATATCAAATTCACCCTCAGGTCAATCTAATTTAATGTAACTAAAGGTTTGTTATAGTTATTTAGTACCATCAAGGGAGAATTTTCTTTTGGTGTTGTCAAACACCTGAATTGAAATGTATACAGCATTTCAGAGGCTGGCTCTATCCCTGTCTAGTATTGTCTTAGGAGTATTTTCTCCCTACAGTGTCCAATGTCAGTATAAAAAGATAAAAAATTATACCTTCTTGTTCTTGTGGCATGCCATGTTCTGTAACTAATTTCTTGCTATCTCCACTGAGGTTTGTAGTTTGTACACAAACCCTGCTTCTGATCTGCTTCAGTGCCTAACAGTAAGAACTAGTTTTATCCAATGAGCCACCAAACAGTAGGCACTGTTGTCTTCTAACTAAATACTGAGACACATCCAGTCTCCAAAACAATCTTTAACACAGACAATGGACAATGTTCAAAGAAATTCTCCAATGATACTTTTAATTATGTTAATATGTACCTTAGATATCATATATGACATTACAGCTCTACCCACTGGCTGATTCATGTAAGATGAACTTGGTCATAAAGTACACACTAAGATAAGGCAGTGGTAATCTCTTTAGCTTACCAGGTATAAATAATGCTGGTTATTCTGAAGATGTGTTACCACCACTTCAGATGGCACACGCTCCTTCTCCAAAAACATATTGATTGCTTGATCCACGTCAAGATCCATGAGATCTTCTATCATATCATGGATGGCTCCAAACAAGTTATGTTTGTGAATAAGCTGAAATACATCTTTGTGACGTAACCTGAAATATAAGGGCGGCACAATTTTGTACACAGGTTTATGTATGGACACATGCATGGAAAGGCCTTCAGAATTTAAATAGTGTTCAGAAGAGTGACCTAACATCTTCATATTGTTAACCCAAAGGTACTGTACCAAGAAACAAACTGTGAGTTTTGCCTGCATCACTAGCTTTTAGAAAGAATGCAAACACACATACTATGTAAGTCACAGACATAGTGACACAGGAAATTAGGCAGCGAGCTACAAAGTACTGCTGCTGGGAAATAATGTTTAAATTACCATACAACTGTTTGTTATTAGACAACAGAAGTGCTCTTCTTTGTCTCCTTGAAACACTGCATTTTTGCAAAGCCACAACTCTACTTTTTGGTCAAAGATTTTATCCACAGTAAGAGTGGTAAAAATAATTACACATTTACAAATAAGGTTAAACTGTTTGTGATGCTGACCCCACAGTTAATTCCATGGTTTACTTATCAATGTGTCCAGTGCATAGAATGCACAGTTCTGAATGAAGAATGACAAGATAATTATGAATAATATCCTGAAAAATGCCAGTCTGACAATTCATAAAGGAGGACTCCCCACATGTTTGCATGGCTGTCCCCATGTCAGAATTCCCCAGGTGGATTTTCACACAGTCACTTCTGTGTGCAGAAACGGTTGTAGGGATTCCTGTTAAGTGCCTGATTTGTTATCCAGCTTCAATCAGAAGTAAAATGTAGATAAATTTTGGTAAAACCCCAGCATATAAAATTCAATGAAAATCTGTTCAGGGTTTTCAAGATGTTACAGGTGGACAGAAAAACAGAAATGGCAAAGCTAACAGGCATATTTTTTCAGCTTTTAGTAGTAAATGTATGTAAAAATTGAATAAAAGCCTCCAATCTATCCCACAATTATAGATACTTAGATAATTATTGATATGAGCAGGTTTGGAACCTGGAGAATCTCATACACAACTAAGTTAATGCCAGACTTCTCAGTATTTTTGCATTTCCAAAGTGGATTTTATCATCCATAATCTTATTTAAGGGAAAAGTTCACATTTTCAATATAGTGCATATAAGTTTATGCTTGTGAATAGAAAGTCTTTCAGAATTGAAAATACTCACTTCAAATACATGGCAAGAGCTTTGTCATATTTCTTTTCATGAGAATATAAAATTGCCAGAGCTTCAAGTAACAAAGTTTTATCAGAATCATTCACTAGAAGATGTTCCAAAACTGCATTAACTACAGCCGGTACATTGTACAGTGTAGATGACCATTCCTTTACCAAATGAAGAAATCCCTGAAAGTAAATTGAAAAAATGAACATTCAGTAATAAAACTACCTTGGGAAAAAATCTTGTACAATTTTTTGGCAAGTGAGGAGGAGGGATGGACTGGAAAAATTATAAGCACAACTATTAGAGCTCAAAATTTTGAGATTTGAGCAGAACCTGAGCCATATTAAGTTTCCAGCTACTCACACATACCTACTTTAATTTCAGGGACATACTTTCTACATTTTATTATCTGCCTTAACATTACTGTAATTTTATAGCTTTTAATGCTATATGGGACTTACTTATGATGACACTGTCTTAACTTTTGTCACAGGAATTAGACATACTGAATGAATGCATCATGGGAGAAGAGGGAATGAAAAACAACAGCAACTAATCACTTTACAAAAGCTTGTCTAACATGGATATCGTCTTAAAATAATTTGATCACCTGAGGTTCCATTTTGAGGAATTCATACAGCACCATTTCATAGATATGAGGGTCAAGTGAATTGTCTCCACGAGGCAGGTAATGGCTTACAGCTCGAAGTTGCTGTAATCGAGCAAATTTGAATACTTCCTCTTCCCATCGACGTTTATCCTTACCTAACCAAAATATATGATAATTAAAAGAATGGTGAATGTAATATATTAAATTTATTTCTTATTTATTTCAGCCCTGCTTAACAAAGATTATACACTTAATATAAGGAAACAGGATTAGGATAACAGAAACGTCACCTATCCTTAAAAATAGGTATTAATAATCATACAACAGAAGACCGGAAAGGCTGAAGCCATATCACAAATAGAAGCACTTAATATCAATATATTCATGACAGTAAGTTTAGTATGAAATTAACAGTTATCAAAATGCATTACACAAAGAAATCCTGCAGCTAAATTATACAAAGAGATCAATGTTGTTAAGTCCTTCCCTGGCCTAATAATATGCACTATTTATGGCTTTTTAATCATAAATATAATATCACTTTCAGAAATACTAAACAAAATATGTTTTTCCTTATTTTCAACAATTTCACTATAAAGTATCAAGACTCACCAAGGATTTTAAGACAAAGTTGACCAGCCTGATCAAATTTCTGTTCAAACAAAAGGTGATCCAAATAGGCCTGTCCCACTTGCAATAGTGTGTGCCTCTTTAGATCACGACCTTCAAACTGAGTTACAGCCTCCATTGCAGCTTCATATTTGCTGTAATGAAAATAAATGTCTTATTTATGCTACAAAAATTGAAGTTAAACAGCAAACAGCAGGGCCCCGACAACACGAGATCCATATCTAAATATTATATAAAGCTACACATACCACGTTTTTCCTTACTTACTACTCACCAATGTTCAATTAGCCACTGGACACGGTCATCTGCATCATATGGACTTGCCACCACGACGTCCTTAGGACTTACAATGAAAAACCTGCTTTCCTCTATCAGACATTCTGAAAACAAGATCCTGACATCATTGGTATGTAATGAAGACAGGAACAAGCATCTCTCTGTTTAATCACCATGCCAAGATAGATATAAAAAGCATGAAGTTAAATTCTTAACCACAGCACAACACGGCAGCAAGCCAGTTCTAAGTAATACCTTTTTTTATGGCACTTCACAATAGAAACCATGCTTCAACAAAAACAACTCATACTGCCACTTTAACAAGTATACTGCCCCTGATGTTCTTTCAACAGGCTTGACCATGTACCATATCAACTCCACTTCAATCTTTAAATGGGGTTTTATCTCTGACAAAATCAATTTGTTGGAATCAGAAAGATGAAATTTTGTTTACACTTGTCAGTTTCTATTCATCATCATCTATGGTGCTTCAGTTCATTTTCAGGCAATGACTTCCCCCCTTTCTTGGTCTTTGAAGTGTGCATTTGTAAGTAGTGAGCGACCAGCCCACTGACCAGTCAGTTTCTAGTAGATATATAAATTTCCTTCAAGTAATAAATGTAAATGTGATGTTACTTCACTCTCAAAACTCTGATAACATGCAAGAGATGTCATATAATACTGCTATGTCTTTCATTATCCTGGCTTGCTAATATGCTTGCTCTATTTGTATCCAATATGTACAAAATATTATTTGATTTGCAGCACAAATGGCTATTCTACTGCTGCCTTTTTACCCATTGCTGTAGCTATGTTACTCACTACTTTTATCACATACACAGATATATATACTTATGGGAAAGGGATAAAAACAACAATGAATAAACACAACTTATGACTGCACTGAATTCTTCATTTCGATTGAATATGAAAGCTGAATGTTTCATACCGATACAAAAAAATGTCATTGGTTAGTCTGCCAGGTAGTTTCTCTCCCTAGGTCATCTGAGAATCCATAACATTATGGAAGAGGTAGAAGAGAGGATCAAGAGCTTGGGAAAAAACAAAAAAAACTCAATGTCGCATGCACCCACAGCATAGGACATGCTCTATTCAAATGATGCAGTGGAATCATTCTGCAATTCCCCCGTCATGGGTAACCATTTAGATCACTATACATTTGCTGATACCTGCAGACCCCGTAGGCCCTCTGCACCCGTCACACAGGGTCTGCAGGGATTTCCGCTACACCACTGGACCTAGGACTATGCTCATGAGATTCTGAGAATGGAAATCATCGACCAAACACACTATAAATGTCAACTGTAAATATTGTTAATAGGGTTAGAAATTGTATCAGCAGGGATGTTGAAAGAGATAAGGGGGAGAATGTCATAAATAGGTGAAGAAATAATAGATCTTAGTCCCTTGTATAGCAGTTCAGCCACTGCTCATTATAATGGCTTAAAGAATTGCTCGTTTTCACATAAAGCTTTCAACTACTGTGATTGCTTTAACCGTGAAATGTTGCTTAGAAAATACATCATTTCCATCCAAGTCTTCTCTGGTTGCTTGCAATAGCCAAGATATCGTCATATCGTTATGAATGAGTGCGATTGTATTTTTTTCCCCTTAAAGCGTGTGTTTCAGTTGATAAAAGAAATGTGAATCATTAAAGATTTCATGCTAATAACACATAAATACTGTGTACCATATACTATGAACACTCACCAAGGTGATAATCATTACATTTGTATTCCTGGTAACCACGCAGAGACAGAGAGTCTGTGCAGATTTCTATGTAATCTTCAATCCTAGGCTCCACAACATAAAGTTGGGGTCGTTGAGCCTTACCATCTAAGTCTGGTTCTTTCATATAGCCAAAAAGAACTAACTGGTTGTCTAGTGGACCAATCCCACAAATGTAGAACTCGGTAGTAAATGTAGACACTGAAAAATAAAAGAGTGAATTCTATATTAAAGCAAAATATGATACAGAACATTTATAAGACTGATCAAATAAATCTAGGACTGAATTTTTGGGAGAAAGTCAAAAAGCCAAAACAATCACATCTACTCCCTCCAAATTACACAAAGCCCTGACACTTGCCAAAGCACCATTACTAATTTTTATTCAAGAATATATCTGATTTTTGCATCACAATTTGTATGATCTCTGGAATTACCATAAATCCTTTCCTTTTAGGGGTCCTACAATTTGACAAACAGAAGAGATACTTGATAGCAAATATATTAAAAACAGATTTGGGGAAAACGTGGATGGTACATAACCAAGAATTAAAATTCCTTATCCAGAGTGCTGGGTGAGATATGGCCACAACTCATGGTACAAATTTTGTAAACTTTCTCATTTACATGCTGTGAATTAAAGCTATCTAGCATGTTCTGCAGAAAATACTAAATTCTGTGGCAACTTCACAAATTATAATTTTTTTGTCAACACAAATGGCAGTAAATGACTTCTCATTACAAATTTTGAATGAAAAACTATACCACCTTCCACAGAAGATTTGTCAGATATAAAGGGAAGAAACCACTCACGTTTTCATAAGGTAGGCATTTCAATTCCAGATGCATTTCGTAAGTATCACTCCCTATATTCCCAGGTTTCTTTTTACTTCTTCACATCACCCATTTAAAAGCACAATGTGATAAACAACATATCCACACATAACAGCATGTCTATCTTGATTCAGATATAAAGACAGTTTTGTAGCAGAAGGGTATAATCAGCAAGAGTTTCCAACTGCCTCACTTATTTAATATCTTAATCTGTGCTTCATTTCTCTATTTTGATCAGATATCATGGTAAAATTATCTCTCTTATACATGCTACAAAAAAATCTTCCAGTCACCATTTTATAATATTTTTGTGGGCCCACATAATAAATATGATTAAAACATAAATTCAGAAAACATGGTGCAGCAATATTACAGATATCAATATTTCCAAAAGTACATGAGGGGCAAAGATCTTAGATTATTTTTGTTTTATTAAAGCACAAGAGTTTATATGCTATAGTATTTCATTAATTTTAACTTTAGTAAATCTTCCTTACAATAAATACCCATCCACATTCAACTGAAGTTCATTGTAAAGCCATTTCATTGTATTCTAACAAATCAATATCATTCTCATAAACCCATTTTTTATAAAAACTGCAATGTTCACTGAACTTCAAATGCCCCACCTGGCTCTACTACAAATTCAGGTAGTTCTCTGTTGGACAGCTCAGCCAAACTGCGTTTTCGGATCACACATATTCTCACTGTATCCACCCAACCTACGAGAAGGGTAGTTGAATTCTTCCAGCACAAATTGCACCGGTAATTCTCTGGTAATGCACTGGAATAAAATGCAGATTTCTTAAGAAATTTCTATGTTTTTATTCATTTTAGAATCACAAATAAGAGAAATATATGAGCCTCATAACCAAATACATTTGTCAAACAGAGTAATAAGAGATCAGTCTAATGAAATATGTCAACTTGAGTGTTTGTGGTGTTGTTTAATAATGAGTAAAACTACAAAGAAAATTCAGCAACCTTAGGTACTGGTATAAGTCTGTCTTGGAAGAATAAACTATGGATTCAATAATTCTAGTCACAATCACATAGTACACTGTAGGGCTGTTTAGAACAAACAAGGTGTAAAGGAGAAAATGTATGAGTAGAAATGGATAAGAGAGGAAGCAGCAGTGGCTGTATCAAGGAAGTACCTCAATATATACCTGCAATAACTGAGGAAAACAAGAAAGGCTTTAATCATGATATCTAGTGTCCCTATCAAGATTCAAACTAGATTGCTCCCAAACACAAGCAAAGTGTTTCCTCTGAGCAACAGTGCTTAAATTTTAAACCTCAAGATATGTCAAAAAATAAGCAAAGAAACAATGTAATTATGGCTGTACGTGAAAGGATGCAACAACACAATTTCCTCACAAAAGTATGAAAGATTTTGGGAATCACAGCTCTAGCTTTCTAATTTCTGTAAGAAATGATAACTCACTTCGGATTTCTATTCCATTTTATGAGGCCTAGTGAACACCTAGCATTGATGTCATATACTCGAACACCAATGTCACTAGCCCATGCTACAAACTGACCATTCCACTTAATATTCTGTACTCCACCTTCAGCTTCATATAACACTGTCGATTTCAGTCGAGATAAGAAAGTCTTCTCATGCAGAATCAGTCGCTCATCCCCTACACAGAATGGAAAGAAAATGTGATTTTACTGATCTTTAATTCATAAAGAATCAAAAGTTAAAATTGTTCGAGTTCTTTTCCATATGTAAATGAATGGCATTTTTATTATTATGAAAGCCAGTATCAAAAATATTTTAATATTAGGAACAGACACCAAGGAGTACCTTCACATCAAATTTATGAACAGTTTACTGTAATCACAATTGTTTCAAGAATTAAGTCATTACCATATTGACTCAACAATCTGTATATTCTCAGCCAGGGGTGTATAAATACAACTTAAATCTTCAGCCACTTCATAAAGACCCTTTTCCTGTAGTCTTGCAGTATACTTCATATAAATGTAGCTTTCTGTCTTCTGGGTTGTTGCGCTGTGTAGTCTGGTCGATGGTTACCAGCGTTTCTGAGGTCATACTGCCTCCATCAGGGTCCTGATGACGGAGGCAGTATGACCTCTGAAATGTTGGTAACCATCAACCGGACTACACAGCGCAACAACCCAGAAGACAGAAAGCTTCATACTCACCACTGTGAAAACCTCAAATCTTTCATATAAATGTCTTTACATGAGATCCTACTGCTAAAATTATTTCTGGATACCAATATTCTTAATTTATGAGAATAACCCTATTCTCTCTACACTTGTAGCTCATGGAACATTCTTCACTACTCTTCTTTAGTTTCATACTCAAACACACTATCTTCAAACATCTTTTGTCACATTCAACCAGATTTAAAACCAACTCTCAATCCGCTAACCTTTCCAAAGTTCTGTCCTACATAAGTGCTTAACACTCTCACCTGTAATGAACCTTCGTCCTGAACCAGACTTGTAATAGTTAGGGTCAATTGCTATCGATTTGACAAGACGTCCAATGACAATATTGTGATTGTTCTCAGTTGAATAAAGACCATAGATGAAAACCTGTTATAAATGGGAAAAGCATATTATCAACTATCATTGCATGGTCCTATATAAGCCCAGTTATTGATAATGTTGCACAATGAACTGTCCACATAAGAGTAGTTGCAATCTGACTGCATGGTAGAACAATATTCTAATAAAGCACACACCCTCACAACTTTAATACAACTTTAAAGAATGTAGAAAACAAAGAAAGAACACCACACAATGAAAATTACTGTAAAGTGCATAAAAAGAAAAAATAAACGTTTATGCACTTCACAGTCATTTTCATCATGTGGTGAAAAAAAAGAGAGAAATGGAAAGGAAAGAAAGGTCATTTCCATCATGTGGTGTTCTTTCTTTGTTTATTGCGTAAAGTGCATTATTATTGTAAATGATGAAGCACACAAGTTAATTTTCATTCAAGCACACATTTTCAAAATATCAAGTTCCATTTTGCATTGGCTCTTACAACTACAAGTAAACCTACTGCTGTACAAACAAGACCTTCCTTTTCATCATTACACCCAATCCTTATCAAGACTAGCAATAGGATTCCTTGCATGGAGAATCAGACCACTGCATGACCATAACCGTCATCTGACAGGACAGAAAAGTACAAACATCTAAGACATGAGTGGGATGTGAATCCACAATCCCATTCCTTGAGTGGTCTAAGAAGGTGCATATTTTCAGATGGCAGAGTCAATTTATTTTTATTTATTTATATTTTATTTAGCAAATCTTTTTCAGTAGCTCAGACTACATAGTGGCAATGGCACAGGCAAGACTGAAAATATTATCAATATTTTTGTCATCATTACATAGTCTTTTGGTTGGAAATCTAGATTCAGATAGCAAACAACATAAGAACATTTCTATAATTAAGTGCATACATAGTTTACTATAAAGAACATACCTTCCCATCATCAGAGCAGCTGGCAATGAAGTCACCATTTTGGTCAATACTGATTTGATTAACAGCAACAGTATGGGCTTGCAGCTCCTTGTTGCGTACATTGTTTCCCTGATGATCCAACAAATGTATCATACCCCAGTGACTTCCCACACATACAAACTGAAAACAAAGGACAATTTTATTGTTTTGAGAGCTTGTTACACGTGATCGGTAAAATTTACACAATAAATTCATAATGATTTATAAAATGCAAGCTGTCCAACATTTTCAGCCTCCTCAATAATTACAGCATTCAGTCACTTGCTTGGGACTCATACTTACTTGTCACATTTCTTTGATATTGTATTTTTGGCATTTCTAATATCATATCATCCATATTTAAACATTTGTACCTTTCACTACAGTATTTTGTCAAGCAAATGAAACATTTCTAATGGTAGATTCATTTTCTGTAAAACATTTCAAAACAATTTTGTTTTCAATGTGCTTACTTCATAATTAGTCCATAATAAGAACCACAAGTTTATTTTATTCTGTGTTCTGATTTAAACTTTTGTTCTAATCACTTAAAAATTTCTTTACCATTCAAAGTGTTTTCCCAACACATTTACAATGAAAATCAAAATTTTATTACACTCATTATGTTTTCATTATTACCCTTATATATTTATTTAATACACACTCTTTAGAGTGGCATTTACCTTAACATGGTATTATATTTCTCATAACTTTGAATGCACAATGTTAGCATTTTTTTTATTATTTTCCATGTTATAAAATGCCTTTTAAACTAATGAATAAAAATACTGAACTCTTTTTACGTTAATTTAAGTGCCACAAAGTGACAGTCCAGTCATACTATGCCAATAATACAGGTCAAGTGCATGACTAAAACAGTCTATTATTCTACAGCAATCGGTTAAAGGGGAGTAACATCTAATAAACACTGGAAAATAAATAATTTATAATATGTCAATGGTAGAAGCATTCTTTACAATCTAGAAGTTGGTTTTTAAGGTGAAGGTAAAGTTATCCTTCATGCTTAGTTAAGCACCATGCCATTAACATAAATAGGGGAGTGGAGGTATAGCTCCATAGCTCAGGATAGAAACTTCGTTAGGCCCCAGAGCTGGGCTGGATATGTGCGCAGGAATCACACCCAATGTATTCAGTTTGTAGCTTAGTCATACATTAAATGGGCTAACAATGGCTCCCAACAGCAGGCTATTATATTCATTAAATGCAGAGAAAATGTCTTGGGTGTTGACTGTACTTTAACCAGCCTACAACACAATGAACATTTTACATGAAGATTTCTGTCTTCTGGGTTATTGCGCTGTGTAGTCTGGTCGATGTTAAGTTGTATGGATAAGGGCAGTATGACCTCTGAAACGTTGGTTAACATCGACCAGACTACACAGCGCAATAACCCAGAAGACAGAAATCTTCATACTCACCGCTGTGAGAACCTCAAGTCTTACAACATTTTACATATTTCACATGCTAATAAGAGTTCATGCACTTAACATACTAAAATGACCCTATACGCCAATGTTACAAACCTTTGGATGCACAGCAATACAGCTACATGCATCCTTAGTGAGAATATTTTGAAGATCATTTGTCAGACGCACATATTTCAACTTTGGTTCAATTTCCTCTGATGATAAACTGTCCTTATCATCTTCTGCATCATTCTCTCTTCCCTATGGAATAAAAATAATAATAAAACTAAACACCTAAATAATTACAGCACCTGAATAATTTCTGAAAAGTATTGGTGTCAAAATCTGGCTTAAACTGGAGTGGAGTAATATCTCTCATGTTCTTTAGCTTTATCAATGAAAGAACCTAGATGCTATGCAGTGTAGTGTTTGAACTTCAAAATAACTCAGCCAGTAATTTATATCTGCAATAAGTGACAATCAAGACCAAAGAGAGGCACAGTTCTTAAAGAATAAACATAAAAAATCTATGTACAATGTTACAATGTACAGGAATATACAGAAGGTTGAGAATATAGGTACTCTTATCACAACAATAACAAAATATATTAAATCATTTTATCACAGTGCATAACTAAAACAATCTATGAAACTTACAGCAACTCTTGGTGGATGTTTTTCAGTATCTTCAACTGTTAATTCTTGTGGATCCATAATTTCTAGCAGCTAACTGTTGAAAAGAACAAAATGCAGTGCAGTAAAATTTAAGTTTATTTTACATTACACTGAGTGGGTTTAACTAAGTCATAACACATCTGACATAATGAGAAGTATATAGTTGAAATTTAATCTGGTAAGAGACTATTTTAGCTTTCATTTGTTAAATGCAAGCCACATTAAGAATGTTTCACATAAATAACAGTAATGACTCCTGTACTTCAGAAATAAAATTACTAATTCTTAATGTGCTGATAATCTTAGGGGGGTGTGGATGAAGCAATTGTAACCTTTAAAGAACATCCTGGGATTGTCACCAAAGAACTTTAGAAAACCAAACAAAATATAATTCAAGATATGTAACCCTAGTAGAGATTAAAACCAAACATACCTGAAACAAAAACAAATATGATATCACGAAAGCAAATTAACATCTGAACTTAAAAAAATTTAATATTGAAAGTTTCAATTATTTTTGATAAAGTTGGGGTATATACAATGATCTAGCGAGACATTAAATGTACAAGTTTGCTCATTCATCTCTTTGATGACTGCAGGTGTGAATATAAATTTGTAGGAGAAGGAATTTAGTTGTTAATATTTCAATTATTGTACACTCATGGCCTATATTTAAACATAAATATTTTGTTGTCAGTAGTAAATTTTGTAAAGTTTGTTTTGACAAAATTTGATGTTAGTTTATTGGCTTTGTACAATTTCTTCAGGACAGCAAAGATATCACTAATGGAATTTTGAAAGTAATCACAATCAGGATAATAAATAATAATACTAGTATAATCAGTATAGTAGAATCAGGCTGTTGGTGGGTGATGAAAATTCTTCTGCTGGGTAGAAGGAGTGAGATACGAGATACTCTTTTAACACTGGCTTAAACATTTTTATATTGTGATTTAAACTTTTGATAGCAGGTGGAAGATTAGTGAATAACTTAATTCCAGTATAGTAAACTCCTTTTTGATATTTACTGAGGTTAGAATTTGGCACACAAAGGTTGTATCTGTATCTTGTTCTTATATTGTGGATATCTGTATTTGTCTGAATTTTTTCCGTATTATCCACTACAAATGATAATAGTGATTGAGAGCAAGAATTCAGTGGGTGATGGAATAATATTAAACTTCTTAAATAATTCCCTACAAGAGGCCCTCCTTTAAGTGCCTGCCATTATTCTAATAATTTTATTTTTAATGTAAAATACTTTTTTGTTGTCCGTTGAATTTCACCAGAAAATGATTCCATATAACATGATGGAATTGAAGTAAGCAAAATAAACTAATTTTAAAGTTTCTGTTTTCATGAGTGCAGCAACTGCCCTTATAGCAAAACATGCCGAGCTTAGTTTAGGGATAACGTACTGAACGTGTTTTCCAGTTAAATTTGCTGTAAATTTGTAAGCCAAGAAATTTAGTTTGGTTAGATTCACCGAGAACGAGAAGGTGTGACCGGGGGCGGAGGAATAACACAATTGCCGCTATAAATTTAATTTAATTTAATGCTACACCATAACCTAAAATACATACATATCAGATTTTCTCTGCAAAATAGTCGAAACTGTCAAATCGAATCCTACTTAACTCAATCACTACCACAGATACACAGAAGGATAAAATAATCAGCAATGTCAAATATCAGCATTCTAGAATAAATTACTAATGGACACCAAACACCTACCATACATTATAATATTTATTTCCTAAACGAAGACTGCAGCCACTGGGTGTGTACACCAGTCCTAAAAATCCATAGACGCTGGAAGTCCAAAGATATTTATGGGCAACACAGTGCGGACTTCTGCTGTCACCTTTTAATCAATACGACAAACATAACGTCGACGTTATCAACGTAACCGTAAGCCCAGTCCATAAAAGAGTTAACTACTTTTCACCTTCCCAATTCTTCACACCACTTCACTGATGTCAAACGACTAATGTCTTAGATCGATATACTCAGTAATTATGGTTTAAAAGGACCGTGTTTTGTTTCTCACATTTCATTCTCATCCAACAGTAAGAAGTTTCATAAGACTCTCTCTAAAATATTTTACACGTAACGAAATTCATCCATATTAATAAATATATCCTTATTAAAATACACTGAACAGCAAAACAGGTTGTTCTTCACAGGGTCGGTTGTACACCCTACACAATATAGTGCTCATCAGTGACTTCGATGTTCATAATCTTGACAGTTTCGAGACCAGTATTCACCACAGATTAACCCAGATGCAAAGCTCCGTGGCTACCAGAGGGTAACGCAGCACCGAGCACATTGTGTTGTTCCTGTGAGCGATTCCGAAATACGCAACGGCGATGTGACAGCACCCAGTCGGTAAGAACATTAACTACTCACCAACCTTCAAAATGTTTTCTTCCCCCATCTAAACACTACTCATATACCACGAATAATTTTGAAACCCTGAAATCGTAAGTAATCTATGCCTCAGAGGCATTGAAAATTTTAGGATACAATCGGACAATGAACTTTTATGAAAACTTAGATATGGAATAACATGCAAGCCGAAAATGCTGAAATTTAACTGATATCCCTGTCAATCATACACGAACACAGAAAAACAATTAGAAAACTGTAATAACGTTTAATTACATGGTTTGAATATGTATGACACTCACGTTGTACGTCACAGCAGCTCACGAGCAGGGAGGTATGCGCATGAACTCACTTTATTTATCTACTTCTTCCACCATATTTGCTTTCAGATGCGCGCCAGATGATCTACAATCGGTATCTTTGCGCAGCAGGAAGAACTGGTCACGTGACTCCTCCCTTTACAACTCTGGTCACCATGTTGGGTGCAGTATCGAGGGCTTCGGCTGCAGTTCTCAGGGGGGTTAAAACCTCTCTAACACCAAGCAATTTTCAGAATGAAAGCGCAAAAATTGTTTCAGTCCTTTCCATTAACAGTGAGTATATAAATTTTTCGATCCGATACGTAATTCATGATCAATACACAGGGTGACCCTTTGAATAAGTCACATAGTTTCGTACATTAATTTCGTAAGTGGACTGTATAGTTTACGTAATTGTAAGTAAATATTTCTTCGGACTTCAGTAAATCTATTTCATTGATCGAAATTTTAAGCGAATGTAGGATAAGGTTTGACCCTTCAGTACGGCAGCCATTGTGTATCACAATGTGATTTAGTGGAGTAGTAGGGTGTAATAGTCTAAAGTTGGGTGATTAGTCCGTTGTATGTTCACTAAGCTTGGCCGTTTTAGTCATTATGCAAAATATATATTTTTATGAAGAATGACCTTGGAATTTTAACCCATCCCAATTTCTTAATCTGTTACAGAATTAGTGTTCTATTATGGTGCGCTTTCCATGCCAAGTACCTGCAAGGCAACACTTCATTTTATAGTTTACTTTTTTTCATAGGAATGCAACACAGTTTTTAGTAAAGTAATTTTCCAGGTAAGGTGAATTATGCAACTGCACCGCAGGCAAAGACAAAGGGAGCGTCTGGGAAAGTAGTAGCTGTGATTGGTGCTGTTGTTGACGTACAGTTTGAAGACAATCTTCCACCAATTCTAAATGCTCTTGAAGTTCAGAACAGGAAGCCTCGCCTTGTGCTTGAGGTTGCTCAGCACTTGGGTAAGTCTGGATGGGCAGCTGTAAATACCTGACCCCGTCTGTGCAGCAGTAGAACCATATAATTTTTTGATTATTTTTCCCATGTAATATATTATGAGTAATGTACCAAAGTTTATTAATACAATTTATTCATTATGTCAGGGTGGTTTTAATGTACATGGTGAAAAAGGAACTCATTAAAAATATGCTTGATTTCCTTACATTGGGAACATCAGTTATATATTGATAAGAACCTCGTCATGTATTGAAAGATGTCGGAAATCATTTCACATTTGTAGTCAGAAAGAATTGAGTTGTGTTTTTCATGGGGTAAGGTAAGTTCTTTTAGTTTCTGTAACTCTGAGCAATGAATTTTTCTGTCATGTGTGCATCTTGAATTAATGTTGATAATGTGATCCATTAAGAATCTCTTCACCTTCAGTTCCATCCTGGATAATTTATACAGAAATGAAAGTGGTAGGTGTCTTGCTGTATGTTGTATAAAATGAAGGAAGGTTTGTACAGAAATTTAAACCTGCACATCCACATGATGTGGAAAGAATGTAGTATAAGGTTATAGTAAAACCTAATATTTCTTTTGTGATATGGGTGTTTCAAATTCTGTCTTACCCTGAATCCTTATCCCTGGACATTTAATTTTGTGCTTTTACATTTCACAGAATACTGTACCACCTGCTCTGAAAATCATTAACTCTGCATTATGCCAACATAGTGTATGTGAATTTCATACTGTAATTCTCAGAATATACAGCAAATTATTTCCCTGAACACCATTAACCAATTGATCTTTGCAATGGAGACGAGTTTTCGTTCAGATATAGGTCGTGCTAGTAGTGGTGGCACCTAAATGCTGAAGCTGTCACCCCTCTAGTGTGTGCTTTGGACAGGTCCATCTCATATGGCCAAAATCAGTCCTTTGCGCAAGTGCCAACACTTCTACCACAACCTATAAAAACTGAATTTTAAATATGTAGACGACCTTCAGTATCAAAGGTTTTTGAGTTTCAAAGGTACTCTTCATGCAAAATGAGAAGTTCAGTACTGATTATTTATACCATAACAAATATTATTGAGTGATTTATTAGAGGACAGAAGCTTTGTTCAAAGTTATTTAATGTGTTCATTCCACAAGGTTGAAGTTTTTAGTCAAATGTGATGTATCTTTTGACCATTATGAGGATGGCTTACAGAATGTTCTATGCTACAAAAAGTATTTTCTTCATTGTTTTTTTCATTTCCTAAATGTGTCTTTTTTAAGCTTTGTAATTGAGCAAGGTCCTTTGATGTTGGTGGTAGTGAGCAAGAAAGGAACAAATTTCTACTGCATAATTACCGAATCCACTTTGCCAGTTTCTTTTTTAGTACCAATGTTTGCTTTTTATATAAATGTTGTTTTGTGTTGTATTTGCTGCTGTACTTTGAAATATGCCATAAGAAGCTTTAACTTCGAAATAAAATTTAGGAACATGAAAATTTGCATATAAAAATATGCTGTGTGTAGGCTATGTACTATTTGTTACTCGAGAAAATCTTTGACCTTGGCAGTACAGTCCCATTTGGAAGTCCAGTCACAATAAATCTTTGGCTAGAAACTGATGTATTCCAATTGAGAAAACATTGCTGTTGACTGGCTGAGTTCTATTTGTAAGTTAATTTAACATTATTTTCTGTTTTCAATATGTTTGTGGTATGAAGGAAGTACAAATGGTTACCAGTTGAAAGGAGAGTAAAATCATTTGTTGATAAGCTAGGTAGGTGATGTCATTTGAAACATCTGTATAGACAAGCAATATAGAAGAGTTATATTTTGCCTTTTTGCCAAGCAGACAAAAGAAGAACAAACTATTTTGGAGTATTGGTTGCAACCGTTGAACAAATTAGACAGGAGAAAAGATAGAGAAATTATGCTGTATTGAAGTCTCTTATTTTTGGTAACATCTGTATGTTCCCCCACAAAGTCTGCTCATACTGTCAAGGCCAATTTTTTTATCCTGAGTAACAGACAGTTTATCATGAAAATTGGTCATATGGAAATACCATATTTACAGAAACTCCAGTTTTGTATGCACACTGCAATAAAATACTCTTTCATAGAGAGTTGAAATCTGGTATATAGGCTGGATACCATCAGTTATTTTAGTTTCCACTTGGCCAATTAGAAGTCCTATTTTACAACAGCTCAGTGAATTTTTCATTTCATTACATGTCAAGTCTGAAAATATTTCAAATAAAATTGATGGTGTTTGTTGGTTGAGCTATAAACATTGGGAATTACTGTGGCAACCATTGGTTTGTAGTGTGATGTATTTGTTTCAAGATGCATTTACAAGTGCAAAAAGGACTTCATTTATGCTTCTATGTTGTACTTATTAGCATAATAAAAGAATTGAATTGAACCATAGGAATAGAGAAGATTAGACATGCAGTCTCCTAGCTGCAGCGTGATAATTTTTGTAACTTTTTTTAGAACTATGTAGTATCTAATATTGCATTGGCTGCATGCTATCATAATGTTTTGTAACACAGTAAGTAGTATTTTTCCACATTTATTTTGATGTTTGTAATTATGTTTTTATTTTGTATGTAGGTGAGAACATAGTACGCACCATTGCTATGGATGGCACTGAGGGACTGGTCCGAGGTCAGGATGTTCTGGATTCAGGGTTTCCCATTAGGATACCTGTGGGAGCAGAAACACTAGGGAGGATCATCAATGTAATTGGTAAGGGCATGTCATAGTTTTTATTAGTGAACTTTTTGTGTTGTATGTCAAGGGAGTTATTTTCATTTTGCGTTTGCTTTCCTTAAGGTGAGCCAATAGATGAGAGGGGTCCAATTAACACCACCAAGTATGCTGCAATCCATGCAGATGCTCCAGAGTTTGTGGACATGAGTGTTGAGCAAGAGATTTTGGTGACGGGGATTAAAGTCGTGGATCTTCTTGCTCCTTATGCAAAGGGTGGCAAAATTGGTAAGTGCACAGAGTCTGTGGCATTCACCCTTCAGGACATTTTAACTTTGGTCATCAGAAACTGGCACTAAATTTGAATCTGACTGTAGTAGATAATTTTATTTTTTAAAAATCGTATTTTTAGGGTTGTTTGGAGGTGCTGGTGTTGGTAAAACTGTATTGATCATGGAGCTGATTAACAATGTAGCCAAGGCCCATGGTGGTTACTCAGTATTTGCTGGAGTTGGTGAGCGAACACGTGAGGGAAATGATCTATACCATGAAATGATTGAGTCTGGTGTCATTTCTCTGAAGGACAAGACTTCCAAGGTAAAGTGTATGTTTTGAATTTTGATTACGTTACATAATTATGTTTTTCAGTCCATGACATTTTTTTTTATAAAAATAGGCTGTTCAACTTCTGTATGAGAGTAGATATTATCTTAAAAGCTGAGATTATTATATTGTTTCATCTTCATAGGATGTGTACTAAGCTGTACACAAAATATATATAATTAAAGGAATGATGTTTTTCCACGTACCGGAATTTCAATTTGCTGAGTGGCCCAGCTGATTTCAGATTGGTTGTACAAGGAAGAGAGGACATTATGCTGACTGCACACTTATGACATATTCTTAATAATCAAACCATTCAATTATGAATTAAGATCATTAATCTCTAACTTCTTGCCCTGATGTTGGAGGCAGCAAGCACCTCTGAAATTTCAATAAATTTCTACTAGACTAGGCTGTGCAACAACCCAGAAGACGGTCATCTTAGTATTTAAACATAGTTTGGGCAGTCAGAGTTGTGGTTGCTTCTTGATGGAGCAGTGAGTATTACATGATCAGTGGACTTCATGAACAGAGGAGACCAGTTTCTGTTGAGTTAACTGAGAGTGGCAAGGTGGAATGTTTTAAGGTGAATGGCAGATGGTAGGTGAAATGGTTAACATTTTACAATCTATCGACCAGGTATGCACAGAATTATGTGGAGAATCATATCCAACCCTCTCCTTGGTAATTTCTGTAAGTGGTGCCAGATGTAGCATTGTGGAACATTGGTTTCAAATGAAGTTACAACACTACGCAAAGATAATGTAAGAATTGGCAACAATGCAGTGCGGCTGCCGATGCTACTATCATCAGGTTTCTTAACAGACTGAGGTCTCCCTGCTTACCAGCAGACCTACTTTGCACTGATTGGTCATTCAGAAAGAGCAGAACTTGACCCAGCCGAAAATTCCGCTGAAAAATACTATAATATATGCCAAGAATATTTAAAAAAAAATTGGAAAAATATTACTAAAGGCTCGGTATTTTTTAGTTATAGTAAAATAAAATTTTATTCCTTCATTCCCCTTTTGCAATGTTTACTATACCAATTGAACATGTCCTGTCTTTTTTACATGGTAGTTATTGTGCAAACATTTGTTAATGCTGTTTGCAATGGTGGCATCCACTGCACTTGACTGTTGTCATCCGATTTAACTTATATTTTATTGATAAATGAGTCAGGAAGTAAATACTTTGTTTACATGAAATAAATTTTATCATAGGTAGCACTTGTGTATGGCCAGATGAATGAGCCCCCCGGTGCTAGGGCTCGAGTGGCTCTGACTGGCCTCACTGTTGCTGAATATTTCCGAGACCAAGAAGGACAGGATGTGCTGCTGTTCATTGACAACATTTTCAGGTTCACCCAAGCTGGTTCAGAGGTTAGTCACTTTGGACATGATATAAGTGTGATCTTAACAGTTATAAACGTCATATACCTCACCACCTAACACTATTTTTGTGATTATGGGTGATATGTCCAGTGTTAATCATTGGTCTTTATTTTATTGATTTGTTTTTCAGTTTATTTCTATTTCTTCTGCGAAGTGCCATGTATTTTAACTTGTTATTGTCCTGTAAACTAAATAACAACGCATCTTGTCTTTGCAGGTATCTGCCTTGCTGGGCCGAATCCCCTCCGCTGTGGGTTACCAGCCAACTTTGGCCACTGACATGGGTACCATGCAGGAAAGAATCACCACAACAAAGAAGGGATCAATTACATCAGTACAGGTCTGTAAATGCCTTGCACCAGAACAGTAAGTCAAAATGTGATTCCAAAACACTTGTTTGAAGTTCTTCTTTTCTTTGTTTTTCCTTTTTTTCCAATGTATTTTTGAGAATGACTCTTTAGACATGTTTGCAGCTTTTTCAATCACTTGTAGGCGATCTACGTGCCAGCTGATGACTTGACTGATCCAGCCCCTGCCACTACCTTTGCTCACTTGGATGCTACAACTGTGTTGTCACGAGCCATCGCTGAGCTGGGTATCTATCCTGCTGTGGATCCACTTGACTCAACATCCCGTATCATGGACCCTAACATCATTGGTGCTGAGCACTACAATGTAGCCAGAGGTGTGCAGAAAATCCTACAGGTATGGGTGATCTCTTTCAAAATCAAGTTTGTTATATTAAAATCTATGTGAGATAAGAATGTTGCTTTGAATTGGTTTAATTTGCTTTACCATTAATTATGTTCCAGTAATTCTGGGTTATAATTTGTGAAGTAATCATTATGAAAGTGTTTTTGTTAAAATAGGACTACAAGTCTCTTCAGGACATCATTGCTATCCTGGGTATGGATGAATTGTCTGAAGAAGATAAGTTGACTGTAGCTCGTGCTCGTAAGATCCAGAGGTTCCTGTCACAACCTTTCCAGGTGGCTGAAGTGTTCACTGGTCATGCAGGCAAGCTGGTGCCATTGGAAGAAACCATTAAGGCAAGTAGTGTGTTGTATAATTAATAACATCCTCCGAGGCATGCATTTGTTCTGAATATATTGTTTTGTCATCAGCTAGTCTCTCCCATTTCTCTTTGAAGGTGGGTGAAATTAATATGTACTGCATTTGTGTATTCGTTGTTCATGTCCAGGAATTTAAGGAAACATTCTTAAATTTTGTGTAATGGTAGTAGGTTGTGGTAGTCAAGTAATTGAAATTGCATTTTAACTTTTTCTGATGACAGCAGCAGTGTCAATTCCATTTTATAATTGCGTCTGTATGGGAAACTACTTTAAGTTCACTGTGCATTAATCCAGCCATTTCCAGTACTTGACCAATCTTGTGGCATTGTTCCCAGTGTGCGTGCTTCCATTGTGTCATGTTATTGTACAATGTTGTCAAAGCTTGATGCTGTGCTGTATGTATTGATTGCAAAAAAAGGATGATATTTTGGTGCTACTCATGAGAATGGTATAGAGAAAAGAAAACTGTTGCTCAAAGATGACTTTGTAGTAGAGTTGGTAAGCTGAGGTTATTTGTAAGTAATGCAGTTTAAATAAGTAAAAGTATCTGCATGTGTGCGCAAGTTAGTCTATGTTCCAGT